GCTACTGTCACTTCTCTCATTTACCCTGACACAGAGCACATCCTTCAGGTAACTCTACCTCACAGACTCACCTCAGCCCTGACTCCCCTCAGGAAGCTTTAGACACTCCCACGGCTCTGTTCCACTCCCTCCCCCACAGCAGCAGAACTGCCATGTCTAGCTCCCCAGCCAGGCTGTGAGTCCCCTGAGAGAGCAGGGGACCTCACTCGTCATTGGATCCAGCCTGGTTCTCAGGCCTTCTTGAATGAAAGAACGAACGAATGAATGAACGAACATCTCTGCTTACCAAGCCCATCACCACCTTTCTCACACAGGAAATACCTAATCATTCCAAATTACCCTTCCTCCCGCCTCAGTACAGTGCACCCCCGGCCACATTGGTTCTGCCGTATTGGTTCTAGAAGGAAGACAGTGCAACGGCCAGGTGAGCCAGCTCAGAGGTGTTCTTGTACTCCCCCTTGTCACGGTCCCCGAGAGGACAAACACCTTCACAACCTTGAAACAGTTACCCTAAGTAACAAGAGGCATCCGATAAGCCTTCCACAGGCTCCGTTCTCCCAAGTGCTTTCCAAGCCTCCTGTGGAAACTAGAATTTAGGAAGTAGATACAATCTTCAACTTCCCTGATAGCCTGTTTAGAATCTATCTCTCTTGGGCATTTTTCTTCCTTTGATCTTGGGAAGGATTTAGATACTACAAAATTTGGAGAATCAGAGTCTCCGTGGAGACGCTGTAGATCCCCCACGGCACAGAGCGATGGGGAGCCACTGCTTACCAAGGAGGCTGGAGAAACAGCAACACAATTGCTCCTTCTGTGATTTTTAGGATGATTCTCAGCTTTCATGAGATACAATAATGGAAATAAATATGGATATGGTGTTGGAGTCTCAGGGGGCTGTAATGTCATGGGGAGTGTAAGTAATGGGGGTTGGTTACTATGTCGACAGGGAAATACTAAACTGAGAGGGGCTATATGTATGAGGACAAAAGCATTTAACACTGCCGGCCTGGCTTCGGCCACTGCCTTGCCTGTTCCCGTAATATCACTGGGTGTCATGACGTCTGTGTGGTTTCCTGCAATTCTGCAAGTTTCTACTCTGTGTCCTTTCTGCATTATTGAGGAAGCGCCAATGTCTCTGCTATTGACCTTGGACCTGGTCTTTCAGATGGTCTGTGTGGTCTCCTTCCTATAAGAATAAGTGGGATGTGGCTGAACTTCAGCTCCTGGCTCCAGAAGGCACTAACTTGGGAATCATCTGTGGTATCTATCGGGATTTCTTGTGATATTCTTACTCATGCATACACTCACTGACTCCACAAATATTCAGAGATGCCCATCCCACTAGATGCTGGCGAACATGGGGTGAGTCAGAGCAATGGGAAAAGCAGACACTAATCAACCCCAACACAAAAGCACACCAACACAAGCTCAAGTCCAGGGAAGCAAGAGCCTCTACCATAGGAGACGGTCAGGAGACATGTCCCTGGTGGTGGAAATGAGATGAGCTGCAGGAAGGGGAAGAGTTAACTCCTGGAAGAGGAGAAGACTCTTGAGGCAGATGCCCTTGGTGGGTGGCAGCCTGGATAGACAACAAGACCACCATGTTAGATTTAGTCTGTCCTAAGGACAATGAGACCCACTGGTGAGTCTTTAAAAGGAGGAAAACTGATCCCATTTCCATTTGGATCTGGACCTTCCAGAACCTTGATGGCAGATATAAAGTCTGGATTTCAGAAGACTCTTGACCTTTCGGGAGCACCTGCAGCATGGCGGCCTCTGGAGCTGGTGGGGCATCCGGGGAGCACACGACATTCAGAGCACACCACAGAGCATCCCCACGAATGGTGCACCTGCCTCTCCAGCTGGATGAAGAGAAATGATTCAACAAACACCACCGACCAACTCTGGCCTGGCAAGGGGTCCTCCCTTCTACCTTTAGTCCTCTCCTCTCTGGTCCGTCTGGCGGACACCAAGGTGGAGTCCCAGCAGTGAAAGCAGAAGGATGATTGTGAGAACAGAGGGATTCCTAGGAGTCCAGGACTCTGACCAGTTCCTCTCCAGCCTGGCCAGCCACCCAGCCCAGCTGCTGTGCGTGTGGGCTCTTATGGCTCACAGCTGCCCACACATCAGGTGATGATGCTGACAGGTAATCACCCTCAGCCACACCAAAGCCACCCAGCCACCCTCCCAGCCCCAGCCGAGTCTCAGTCAGCTCAGGCCACTCTCACAGAGCACACATAATGATGACTAACCCCGACAGACCAGCCCTCATGCCCAAGGAGGGACTGACTCTGGGCTGAGAGGCATGTTCCAGAATCTTCCACGGAATCAGGCCGAAGGTCTTCTTCAGCAAAGACCACACTCTCGCGGAGCTGTTCCCTGTTCTATCCTCACTACTCTCCGCCAGTGATCAGCCCCAATAAATCACTTGAACAAAAATCTCCATCTCAGCTCTATTTTTGGAGAACTGCAATCAAAGCATCAGGTTCTGCCATCATCAATCAATCAACAAGCCAGGGCCAAGTGCTAACTGTGCCCGCCTGGTGCAGGGGCCATGGAAGGGTGTGGTGACCTCCCAAGCTCCAACTGCTCCCCTGCTCAGCACGGGAGACCCAAGCACATGGCTCAGCCTCTCGCAGCAGCAGGTGAGGCAAGATCTCAGCGCCCTCTGTGATGGGAGCAACGGCGGCACCCCCTCCAGAAGGCTCACTCTCAGAGCAACAGGAAAGCACCAAGGTCTATCAAAACGCTGCGAACCATTTAATGAGCATGCAGGTAGCCTGCCCCTAGCTTTAAAGAAGCTGGATTCCACCCCCTCTCCTTGTTATGGGTTGAATCATCCCCCCAGAATCAAGTCCTACCTGTGAATGTGACCTTGTTTGGACAGATGGTGTTTGCAGATGTAATCAAGTTAAGATGAGGTCAAGCTAGATCGGGGGGCCTGAATCCAATGACTGGTGTCCTTATAAGAAGAGGTAATGAGGACACAGAGACCCTAAGACTGGAAAGGCAGAGACCAGCATGAACAAGCCAGGACACCAGCGCTTGCTGGGAACCACCGAGAGTGAGGAGACCCGGGGTCACACTCTATCAGAACTCTCCAGAAGGAAGCAAGCCTGCCAACACTTGACTTTCAGACTTTGAGGGAATGAATAGCCATTGTTTTAAGCCACCCTGTTTGTGGTGCTCTGTGACCTCTGCCCTAGGACCATATTCATCCACCCACCCCTCCCACCCCTTTCACAGGATGCTCTGGGGCTGCCTGAGGTCATCAGTCTGAGGTCAAGATGTAACAGAACCTGTGATGGGAACAGACTCTGACCTTGAAATAAAGGGACATCGTATTGTACCACATACAACACTGATTCCCCAAGAAACGCCCACAAGAGGTAAAACTTAACTAAATCACAAGGAAATGAATGAGTTGGAGGGGGTGAGGAGGAAACTCGTACCATCCAAAGACCTGGGTGACGGCATGTAAGACTGTCCAGGCCCATTTCCTGAGGGGCAGAATGATAGCCCTACTTAACTCAATAGAGCTGCTTAAAAAAATTCAAATAAAATAATGTTTGTACATGTTTTTCACCAAAATTGACAGATGAAAAAGTAAATGTTGACTGTTTTATTATCACTCATGGTGCGAGCTCTTGGAAGCCTAACTCCTCTGAGCCTCGGTATATTCACTCATAAGACAAGGTTAGTAGCTATTTCACAAGGTTGTTGTGAGGACTGAAGGGGACAATTTATAAGGTTTTGAGTTCCAAGAGGTCTTGGCTGCCGTAGTAACAAATTTCAGCCAGATATTGGTCAGTTCCCAGAGATTGGCGCTAGAGGGCAGCAAGGTCTCACTTTTGCCCCTCTAGCAAAGGCAGGAAATGTGTTTTCTAGAACCTGTCACTGCTGACTTCCCTGGAGCTCCCAAGCATCCCACAGAGACAAAGTCCAGAGCTTGCCTTCCTTTCCATGGAAAAAGCAATTCAGCATTTCCTCAGAGTTCACTGGGTATCATGAAGCTCAGTTAAAAATAGGGATTCTATTTTACAGGGATATTTTTTGACTTTTTTATGGTTTAGTAAAGTCCCTCCCAGCACAGAGCTGAACCCATCAGAGCTGCTGAACCATTCTGGGCCTCAAGAACATCCCACATTTTGCAAAATCAATCGCTTCCATGACTTCCTAAGCTACCTGTCATAGAACTTTGCTTATATCAATCAGTTATAAAATCCATAGTAATTAGTATCACATGTCTTTGGAAGAGAACTTCCAAATTTGTCACTGTGCCATCCAGTTCAGTGTCGGTTTTCCAGAAGCCTGACATCGGAGCGTGCTCCAGCTGATTTCCATTTTGCAGGAACTTGGCAATTCAGAGCCAAGGGTGTCTTGCAGGTGCACAGACGCTTCTCCTTCCTGACCTCCTCGTCCCACTGCCCCTCCCCAGCAAGACTGTCCCTCCCGTTATTACGGAATATTTCAGAAGTGCCAAGAGCACAGAGTAACATAACAGAGACCAGCACAGCACCGTGAGGTTTAAGAAAGAAATGTTTCAGAGACACGGGAAGCCCCCAGCGACTCCTCCAGCTTCCCAGCCACATCCTTCCTCCTCCCCAAGACCAAATTCCCCACATTTAGCGTTTATCATCAATACTCCATTTTTCCCACTGGAAAAACCTGGGGAAGACCAAGCATTCCTTCCCTGCAGTCCTTTGGTGGAAACAGACTGCACACTCCAAAGATACTGAGCAAAATAGTGGGAAAGAGGTAGGGAACCGTGCAGAAGAAGTCAGAAGTTCCGGTGCCCCAGCTCTGAGCTCCAGCCAGATGGGGCTGGGCGAGAATGGCTTCTAAGGGAGTCTGCAGGCCCAGGACTGCAGCCCAGAGCTTGCAGCAGGCAGGGCCATGCCCCGCCCCGCCCCGCCCCGCCCCGCCCCTGGGCCGCCCACCTCCCGCCTCTTCCCCGTAACCCGCGGGTGGGCCCGGGCGGGAGTGCCAGCGCCACCTACCGACCACAATGAGGATTTCCCGCTCGATGTGCGCCTGGATGTAGATGCGGCCGCGGCGCTCCGTGTGGTCCGTGCCGCACAGGCTGGGGACGTTCATCACGCAGCGCTTGTGGACGTTCATCATGCAGGCTGTGGGGGGCAGGGAGGGGGCACGGCTCAGGCTGGTCCAGGCTGGGTGCCCTGGCCATCTGCGCCCACCCAAGCCTGCTGGGTCCCAACTGGTCCCCACTTCCTTCCAGACTGCACCCCCCAGGCTGACCGAGCCAGCTCGCCCTGCAACCTGGCAACCTGGACCCCATCGGATGGGCTTCTCCAACTCCTCTGCCAGCCCTGATGGACACAGGCAGTGGGACTTCTCCGTCCTCCCGGGAGGCTGTGGGTGCATGCCACACACCCCTCGAGGGTTCTCAAGCCAGTCATCAGCCTTAATGCCGCTTGCCACAGTAACCCTATGAGGGAAGAGGTGTGTCCTGGCCCCAGATATGCATCCAAAGTTGCCAAAGTTTCCCATTTTTCCAAGATAAGAATCCCGATTCGTGACATCTCCAGATTTTTAAATACTGACAGCTCAAAGGTGGGTTCTCCGAGGAGTTGGGGAAGGGGAGTTGGGAGCTAACCACTGGGGCGCTCCTCTGACCCGTCAGAGTTGTGTGAATTGTGACTAGAGGCTGAGCCTTTGCACACCCGTATCAGCCAGTTGTTGGCCATGAACCACCCCTGGACAGGACATCGCCTTGGGCGATTTCATAGCAGCCTATAAGCTGCCAGTTGGTGAGGGGCCCTCAAAGGATCTGATCATAATACCCCCCAGGATCCACCACAACTAGCTGCAAGAAAAAAGTTAGCACCAAGGTAAGATGAAGTGAAACATGTCCACAAAGGGAATCTGCCCTTTGGGGTCTCATGTGAAATGTGCTCCCCCCTTTGCCTGCTCCTCCCAGCATATCCGTTTGTGGCGATGATGGCTGATTCCGCTTGGTGTTTTGGTACCAAGGCTGCTCCCAGGAGGTGTGCCAGGAGGCCAATTTCTGCTGGGGACCTTGCACCAGTTTGAGAAACCAGGAAAGAGTCTGTATCCCCTGGGGTAGGGGGTGCTGAGGGACCCCCTTCTCAGCCCACCCAAGGCCCAGGAGGCAACAGGCAAATTACAAAACAAAATGAGTTGTGGGAGAACAGGGCGGTGGGAGAGGAAAGGAGCGCCCCCTGAGCGCCCTGCTCAGCCCCTGGTCCCACCCACCTACCACCCACTGCATTCCCCAGGCAGGGGCACCACAGGAGTGTGCTGAGGGCTGAGTCCCACCCACTGCTCCCTTGCCGCCGCACACCCGTGTCTCTGTGACTCTCGGCCTGCTCATGTGTCTGTCTACCCGTCTGTTCCTGCGCTGGTGTGCGGCTCTTCCCTGCCTCTACTCCTGCGTGTGCGTCCACACGCACTGCCATGCTGCCACTGAGTGGGCCTCGCTCTCGGCACCTGCGTGCTGTCCATCTGTCTCTCCATGTATATGTCTCTGTCTCTCTGGCCGCTCTGTCTCTCTGCCTGCACGGGCCTGAGTGAGTGCCGCTTAGTGTCCACTCCAATCATTTGGTCTGCTGGTCTCCTGTCCCCCCTCTGCCCTGAGTCTCCCTCTCTAGTTGAGCCCCATTGTAGCTTTCACCCCCACTGCGCCCACCTCATATGCCTTCCTATCACTGTCACCCCGTGAGTGTCTCCCTCTGTCCTCTGGGCTCAGGACCATGTGTCAGGGAAGCTGCTCGGCCTTCTGTATCAGCCTCCAGAAGCATCAGCACAGCAAGCCCCTATCCTGCAGAGCCCCGTTCCTTTGCAGCATGGTTCTCCTACATGCTCACTCTCTTGGCCCACAGACCACTCAGTCCTTTGCTAAACAAACAGTCCCGCCCCAGCTCCCTTCCCCTGCCTGGCCAGAGAATCCAGTTCTGCCCTCCATAAACCTGCAGGTTTTCACGATGTAGAGAACGTGTCAGCCCGGTATGTCGATGCTGAAGACTGTTGTGAGCATGGCTGAGCAATGGCCCCCATCTGTCTGTGGCTCCCTGTGGCCATGGCCAGGGACTGTCCCCTCCCACACTGCCTGTGAGCCTTGCTGTGTGGCCTGCTCTGCTGCAGGGACTGGGACTCTTGAAGCATCCAGATTCATGCAACCTTCCCCGAGCCTGCTTAGGACAGACGCCCAGCCCATGATGCCCATCACCCAGATGACAGCCCGCTCTCATGAAGACACGTGGGAGAGCCCCAAGCCAGCCCGCTAACCCACCACATACACACAAGCAAGCTGAGCCCTGACCCAGAGGACCACCTTGCTGACTCACGAGCTAAGCGGTTACTGTTTTGAGCCACTGCAGTTGAGGTGAGACAATCATTACTCAGGAGAATGTGCTGCAGAACGGGACCCCTAACCCCAAGAAATCAGCCCTTCCTGTGGCTCCCGCCCACTGGCAGAGGCTGTGAGAGCAGATGTACTTACTGTCACATTTCATCCCCTGGTGGATGAGTCCATACAGCAGCGACCCGCAGTGGTCACAAAACGTGGGGCTGGAGTAGGTGTGGATCTTGAACTTGTGTTTGCTCCGGGGGTCCTAAGGCCAAGAGAAACAAAAAAAAAGAGGCTAGTGTCAGTGGGTCATGCCAAGGATCACACCACAGTGAGCAGCCCAGGAACTGAACTTGGCCACCAGGTTCATCCTACCTGTCGGGACCATCACCAGAGCCCTGTGCTCAAACACGGTACTTGACAAACAGTGGCTGAACATTAGGGGAGGTACATGTTCCCCATCCCCACTACTCTGGGGTTGCCTTGGACTAGCTACTGGGAACGAGGAGCCGAGCTGAGCGGCCAGGTGAAGCTCTGTACGGCCAAAGGCAGGTGAACTCTAAAAAGGGGTCTTGCCTCTCCAGCTTTGACTTGGGGGCACTTAGGAGGAGATGCATGGAGAAGAGACATGTAGACACACTTGAGAAATCCCAAGTGCTAGAGAAGGAGGGTATACACATAATGGAGAGGATGAGGGTGTAAGGTCTGAGGGAATGTGAGGTGGTAGAGCCACTTTCGAAAACATTTGTTTCTTACAACATTAAATATACCCTTATAATCAATCAATGACGGAGAAATCATGGTTTGAGGTGTGAAATGAAAACATAGCCCTGTACAAAAACCTGCATGTGAACCTTTACAGCCAATTCACTTAGAATGGCCAAAACCTGCAAACAACCAAACGTCCTTCAGTGTGTGAGTGGACAAAGTGGGGTCGATCCACACTCAGAATACTTAGCAGTAAGAAGGGATGAACTACCGACGCAGGCAGCAACATTCTTGAATCTCAAAAGCATTACATCATCCCAAAGAAAGATTTCAACGACATGCTTCTTGATTCCCTTTCAATCCCAGGCTAGACGACACACAATTCTATCTGAATGACATTCTGAAAAGGCAAATCTATGGGGCAGAAGACAGATGAGTGGCTAAGGGGGTTTAGGGTGGGAGAGGGACTGACATCAAAGGGGAAACATGCAGGTGTTTTTTGGGCGCTTGGAATGTTCTATGAACTATGGTGAATCCTATTGTCAGTTTTTTTTTTTTTTAAAGATTTATTTTTATTTATTTATACATGCACTGGGTACTGTCAGAAGCGCAGGAGGGTGAGAGAATTCACCAGAGCCAGAGCGGGGAGCAGAGCAGGCAGAAGGACCGAAGTACACTGCTGAGGGGAGCAGCGGGCGGCAGGAGGGGTCTGCACGCCATGTGGGACCCTCCTCTGGTGGCCGGGGAGCAGCCGGGGATCGAACCGGCGCTGCAGAGGCTGCGGGCAGCTTCGCAACCCAGCGCTCAACCACTGCGCCACTGGGGAGGCCCTATTGTCAGTTTTAATAAAGTGAACTGTGCTGCAAGAAAATGCTATCTCAATAAGCCTGCCTAAAAAATCCTCGGTCGGGCCTCCCCGGTGGTGGAGCGGTGGTTGAGCGCTGGGTTGTGAAGCTGCCTGCGGCCTCTGCGGCGCTGGTTCAATCCCCGGCTGCTCCCCGGCCACCAGAGGAGGGTCCCACATGGTGCGCAGACCTCTCCTGCCGCTCGCTGCTCCCCTCAGCAGTGTACTTCGGTCCTTCTGCCTGCTCTGCTCCCCGCTCTGGCTCTGGTGAATTCTCTCACCCTCCCTTGCTTCCGACTGTACCCAGTGCTTGTATAAACAAAACAAAACAAAACAAACAAATGAATAAAAAAAAAAAGCATGCCTCTATAAAAAAAAATAAATAAATAAAATAAAAAAATAAATCCTCGGTCACTGAAGGCTTTTCTTTTTTTTTTTTTTTTTTTTTTTTGGGTTAGTGTTACACTTTATTTATTTATTTATTTATTTATTTATTTATTTATTTATTTGATGTTCTGAATTATTTATTTATTCAATGTTTAAGAATTCCCATGAAAAGCATCTTTTCAAAGATGATCTTTAAAGTTACTTGGGGTAATTTTTTTTAATAAATTTTATTTTTATATTCCCCATACAATTGCAATCCCCTTATTTTGACCCCAATCTCTCCCCTCCCCGCCTTTTGAGCATCTACCTTAAAGGTGAGAAATGAGTACCTCAAGCCTGCCTAAAAAGAAACACCTGTTCATGCTGAGGATTGGCCTGTAGGAGGAGTTCGGGGCTCTGCTCCCTCCCTATTCTGCCCCTAATGAAAAGAACTGATCTAATTGGTCAGATTCGAAGGTACTGATTGGTCCAGCCTGAGTGGGTGGCGCTTGGAGCTTGCACAGGCATTAAATAGGGTAACCGCCCTCTTTCATTTTCTCTGCTGTCTCTTGCCTCCCTCAGGAGGCCACTGGGTCCTGGTCCCGTGGTTTTACCCTATGAAGACAGGATGAGTGGCCTGGGCTCTGCTCTAAGCACTGTGACAAGTTCTCTCTGTTTTTGGTTCTTGTGCTCCCTCTGGAGTCCCTGTCATGTTGACTGAAATTAGTTTTGATGGGGGTTTAAATTTAGTCTCACCAAGCACAGACAAGAGGCACAGCCACGTGAGCTCAACCTTAAGATGTGGGGCAAAATCCCAACTAATAATAAAGAGCCTCTGCTGGATTTGCACTTTTTGCCACGTGTACACCGCCTTGGAGACTCTCAGGGAGAAGGATTCTAGCATTCTGACCAGACATTATCAAGAACCTTCTCCACCTCAACATCTCTTCAACAACAGGCGATGCCCAGGGGCACAAAGAATGGGGAGGGGAAAGAAACACTGAGGGCCGCCCAAGTGCCAAGGGGACGGGGGCATCTTAGGTATTCTTTCTCCAGGGCTCATGACATGCCGGTTGGAAGGTGTCCTTTGTACCATTTTAGAGATGATGAAAGGCGCCCAGGCCAGAGAGTAAGGCCTCGGAGGATGGTCTGAAGAACCAGGATTCACACCCGGCTCAGCTGGCTCCAAAGAGGGGATGACCAAGTTACAGGTAGACCTCATCTTATTGGGGTTCATTTTATTACGTTTTTTACAAATTGAAGATTTGTTGCAACCGTGTGGTGGGCAAGTCTACTGCATCATTTTTGCAGCAGCACATGCTCAGCACTTTTTTTTATCTTGTTGCAATAAAGTATTTTTAATTAAGGTGTGTATAGTTCTTAAGCATAATGCTATTGCACACTTAAGAGACTGCAGTATAAACAACTTTTATATGCACTAGGGAACCAAAATATTTGTGTGATTCCCTTGAGTGTGATACTCTCTGGATTGGGGGGTCTGCAGCTGAACCTGCAGTATCTCCAGGATGTCTTTGTACTTTCTCTTCTCTCACTCCCCAGCTTCACTAATGCCTTATTGTTCCAGCCCCATTGAAACAGCACCCCCTCCTTCTTTCATTCATCCAGCAAATGTTCACTGAGAGCCAGTCTCTTCCTGGGTATTGGGGATGGAACTGTGAGCAGAGGAGACAGAACGCCAGCTCTCCTTACACATACTTTCGATGGCAAAGCGAAAGCAAAAAGAAATAAAGCAATGTCCTGCCCCCCCCCAATCTTCCCTATCAGTAGTATTTATACCACTCTGTGTTTCATTACTCTCTCCCATGCCTAGCTGCAAGCAACATGAGGGAATTTTGCTCACCATTAGATCCAAAGCATATATTGTACTTGGCATATAGAAAGTACTCAATAAATATTTAATGAGTAAGCGTTAACATTTATTGAGCATTTACTCATGCCAGGAACTATTTTCAGGGATTTACCAAGCAATAAGTCATCTAATCCTCACAACATCTCTATAGTCTGCACTGCTAACTACTCCCATTTCACAGGTGAAAAAACAAGGGCACAGGGTGCATAACTTGCACAGGGCTCCCCCGTTGAGCAAGCACAGCAGTTTGCAGGGGCACACTGTAAGAGGTCAGTGAGCTGGGGCTGCAGCTGCAGGGCTGCATCGTCACCCTGACCACGGGAGCCTATGCAATGTACATGCTATTTTAAAAAAATGACCTAAGGGGGCCTCCCTGGTAGCGCAAGGGGTTAAGCACCACACTATGAAGCAATCCACAGCCTCTGCAGCACGAGTTCGATCCCTGGCCAGCCAGGGAGCAACCCACATGGTGCAGCAGACCTCTCCTGTCTCACCTGCTGCTCCCCTCAGCACTGTATTTCAGTCAATCTGCCTGTTCTGATCTCCACTCTGTCTCTGGTGACTCCTCTCACCCCTGCATCTCTGACCTGTACCCCAGTTCTTGTATGCATAAATAAATAAATCTTTTTTAAAAATGACCTGAGAACACTGTGCAAGACAGAAGAAAGGAGGGCCAATTAGTCGAGCTACAGGGAAAGTCTGTTTCTTCATGGATTATTTAGAGGCTGTTGGAGTTTCATCCCACCTCATTACTCTGCTTCAGCTTTTGGGGGGACAAGGGGAGGGATTCACACTGCAAGGACCACTTCACTCATTGCCCATCCCTCAGACCACCCAGACCAACTGGGTCATTCACTGATCAAGCTGCCCTCCACCCTCCGGCCATCTGGGCAGACTTAGTACAAAGCCATACTCCCATAGCTGGGCATTAAGTCAACCCCACAATCCTCAAGGAGAAGCTGTTAGGGTGCCCTTCCATGCCTTCCCATGCTCCCTGTCCTCTCTGAGGTGGGCAGGTTTGCACTTTGAGATGCCCCGGACCTAAATGACTGGCACAGAGGTGGAGGCTTGGCTCAAGCGTCACACACATTTCATGGTTGGGAAGCAGGTGGCAGGGAGACAGGCAGCTCCAGCACTGAGGTGGCCATTTTTTTTACAGTAGCTCCAAGGTACAGAGAGGAACAAAGACAGAGACCATATGACCTAAGGGATGGAGCCCCTGATTGCGGTCCCTCAAGGGCCTGGTGTCTTGCCCTTCAATTTCATCCCCTTGCGTCCTCTAAAAGTTCTCCTCTGTGCTTTAGCCAATCCAAGCAGGCATGTGTTACCTGCATCCACTGGCTCAGACACTACTCACCAACCAATCAAAACAGACAGCAGAGCAGTGCTGGAGGTTAACTCTTTCAATGCTGGATCATGGCAAGGTGGGGTGGAGAGGAGTTCATAGGGAAAGAAGTGGATGAGTGGAGGGCAGGAA